GTTATAATAACAATGCGTCGCGCAAGCGATAGTGCCCGCTCAGGCGGGCACTATCGCTTCATAGTGCCTGCTGCGTTATCCAATGAGATTGCAGCGATTTATCACGTCATGCACTAATAGTTATTACATGGACATGCAGTTACTATGTAGGAAGCCGGAGAATGATCGAGACGTGGTGCGGAGCCTAGGCATGTTTGCCTAGGCTGTGGTATGGTATATATTTGTATATGTGTCAAGTAATAAAGACAGAGTTCAATAACTAATCTGCGACTACGGCTCTATCTGACGAGACTCTACGCTGATACTCTGCCACGGTTCTACGAAGCATCATCTCCAATGTTTGCCAACAAGTCTACGCTGTCGACTCTTGCGAGAACCAGAAGTTATTACCGTCTTTTCTCCAGTACAATAATTGGTGGAGGATGCGGGTAACTCTACGCTGCTACGATTCCGGAGCTGATGTTATCACCGTTATTTTCCAGTACAACAAAATCATCAACATGGAGGTCAGGCCCTAGCTGACGTCTCAGCGTGGACCATCTGTGAGAGACTACGACAAAGAAGAAGAAAAGGACAAGCTAAAATGAGTCAATTAAGATATGGTATATGTAAGGGGAAGATAGGTGCGGTAGAATAATTAGAGGGTGTTATAAAAAGCAGTAATAAAACAGCCCCCGCGTGTGATTGAAGTGCTATACAGGGCGTATATAAACTAGAAGATGAGATGGAAATGTAGAAGAAGAAGGAGCAGGAGGAGGAATATCAGCAAAAGCAGCAGCAACAACAACAGCAGCAGCAGGAGAAGTAGAAGATTGTAATATGTATGAGATACAGAGGGGATTGATAACGTGGAATAAGGCGGGAAAAATGAAATAATTGGTATATACATAGTGGTATTGTTAAAATAGTATGTAGAGCATAAATGTAAAGCAAGAAGGCAAAAACGATCCTGAGGGAGATGGTGGAGAACTAAGAGAACTGGAAGAGTTGATTTATTGAAACGATTTATTCTATTATTTGGGGCCAAAATGTTAGTTAATAGGTTGATGTTGTGAAATTTGGCACAGAAAGCAAATGATCTTTCACTGTATATGCACAAATAGCCATTACCCTATAACAGTGGAAAGGACGGCTTCTCTCTCTCTCTCTCTCTCTTTCTCTCTCCTTTTCTTTCTATTTCTTTCTCTCTCTCTCTCTCTCTCTTTCTCTCTCCTTTTCTTTCTATTTCTTTCTCTCTACTTCCCATCCTCTCTTTAACAGAGAGAATATTCTGATAGTCATCATTCAAATTACTGACGGAAATCCATTCTTATTCTCAAGAAGCCTCAGAAACTAGTGCATCTACTGTATAGATTAATATAGATTGCATTATATTACCACATTGAAGAAAACTATAACGAATTCCAGCGATTTAGGTTGGAACACTAATCTAAACAAATCGCGCAGTTTCCAGGACGACCGACGCTTTTCAGCACAATTCTATTGAAGACATGATGAACTCCGGCAAACCATCACGGCCGCATGGCAGCCCCACCCAGACCTTTGCATCCCCTGTCGTGTCATCAGACAAGGACCAAAGGTTTCTATCGTAACAATTACTTACTCGCATATTGACTAATCTCATTAAACAAAATAGGCGTGTCCGCTATATATCGCACTTTTGTCTCTTAGTCGCGGTTACTCGATGATTCTTGCCATGCCTTTCACACATTAATTCTTTGACACGCGGCAATTCAATCGTCAAGGCACTAATATTGTGCAATGTTCTCGCAGTGGCTCGATAGACTCCGCGTATAATTCGTGTGCCAAATCGAACGCGTCCGTCAACGACTGGGATCTGTTCTACATGAACGACAGCGCCGACGGTAACAACGAAGAGAACAAATGCTGGGACTACGCTACTCAGACCCTTAAAGTCATCGTTTACATCGTATCCTTTGTGCTGGTGCTATCGTTTACAACCATCGCGAAATTGGCCTTCTTTCTGATGGTGACACAACTCTATCCAATAGTAAGAGGCATTGGTAGCGACTATCTCAGCATCTGCAGCGTCGGGACGAGCTGCGAAAGAAGCGGGACATACGCGGATAGTTTGGCCTTTTCACGTTGGTACTGGTGTTCGTGGTTTGTGCTCTCCGTTCCTCATATCTTGAGCCTATATCCGTGCATGAAAGTTCTGTTCTTCAAGCGGACGAACAAGTTGCCGGCAGTTCTCATTAATCTCGTAAGTATATTATCTATATTCCATAATATTTTACGATGTACATGTAAGGGGCATGCACAGCGCCTTAACACAGAGATAATATTAATTATTGAGATAAATACGACCCGTAAATATCACATTTACATTAGACATGATGCTATTTAGCACGAGCGGTGTGGTAATTTGATAATAATTTGTTTACTAGAATTTCCTCTCCAGTAAACCCTGACAACGTATTCTATTTATGCAGACGATTCTGATCGAAACCATCCACTCCGTGGGAGTTGGAATTCTAGTATTCAGAGTTCTACCGGCCTTTGATGCAGTGACTGGAGCCATGATCACCAGCAGCTTATGCCTAATTCCGGCGCTCATGCGCGTACTCAATCGCGACAACAAGAACGGATTGAGTGCGAATATCAAAACTGGCGTCGACGTTCTCTCCACATGTGCCCAAGCATCGGTGTTCGTTTGGCTCGCTTTCATTGAGAAAGATGTGGCTCTTGTGGGATTCACGGCTGCTGCGATCGTCTGCACATCGCTCGGCTACTGGGAGACGTTTCTGAACGAGGAGGCAAAGATCGGCATATTTGCCAAACTCGCAGTGATGAGAAAGAACCACAAGGTCGCGCGATTAAAGCTTTACACGTTCGTCAATCTATGGAAAATCGCCATTGCGTTTGCGATGATGGTCACGTTTGGTGTAGACACGCTCACTAAGCCAAAAATGTTCGAGTTTAGTTTGATATTTAAGGAGCACGATATCATGGTGTCGGGCGGCAGCATAAAGACATCGTCGTCCGTGGACGTCCTGTGGTTATTCCTCATCCAGGCAATTTTCGCTGCAGTGGGGTATCTGATCATTCAGTTCTCCTGCAAGGTGAAAATACAGCGCACTGGATTTGCTTTACCGATTGCACTGAGCACTCCATTTGCTGTTCTCCTTCTGATGTTTTTTTGCGAACTGCGATCTGACAGCAATCAGTGGTTCCTCTACAAACTGTTACCTAACTATATATTCTGGAATTGCGGAACTAGCACCTGGTTGACCAGAGAGAACAATGCTTTTGTAACTAAACATATGTGGATATGGGGTGGGTGGCTATTATCGCAAATGTATACTACATCACACGTCTTCTTCCCAACAATAGAAAAGATGGCTAAACGCAACAAGTAAGATTCGACACATGTAATTGATATTTTGTCTTGTTCGCTAATTTTACACAATTTTAAATCTTCAATAAAACGCTTCACATGACTATGAGGTGAAATCAATGTTACTTTAACCTCGTGTGTGTTATATTAAACTACATCGGTTCATAGATGCTAACGTTTCTATTTTACAAAGAATGTTCATCAAACCATTTAATGAGATCGTCAACATGGATACCGCTGCACCATTGAATCGCTTACCCGACAAGAAAGTAACAGATGACGGGCGAACCCAAGAACTAGTACGTTTCTAGACACTATCAATTCATACGATTTATAAGCATGATATCTGCGTACATGTATGTTTATACATAATGTTTCATTATTATTATTCGTGTCATGCAGTAATACGGCTCGATTACGGTGTTATTTTCTATGTAGGATGAGGATCTGGCACGCATAAACCTAGCTTGCCCTGAAGTGACGATGGAATCGGATAATGGTGAGATGAAGACATCCCCTGCCGATCAGGCGACCGTCAATGGCGTGACACACATTTATTTCTGCGCCACCATGTGGCATGAAACATCCAATGAAATGGTTCAGCTGCTTAAGTCTATATTTAGGTATATATAGCTGGGCGTAAAATTTGTCAATTTAAACATGACATTTTCTCAAGTAGAATAGAATTTTACGCGTTTTGTTGTACTACGATGATCTTACGTAAGAGAATGGTCGAACAATATTCACCGATGGTATTGAAGTTTGAGTAAAGATTCTAGTTACGAACGTGTAACGTTTCGCAGAGTTCGGAACATCGGAGCCACATGCGCATCATTCGTAATGCTTTTGCGTCATGAAAAATATTCGATGCTGCTAAAAATACCAACTACCGATGGTTCACAAAACGTAGATAATGCTGATTTCTGTAGTCCCTTCTTGTATATGACAGATGTGACAAAGACCAATGCGCTCGTCGTCTAGCTATTAAATGCCTGAATAAAGTTCCAGACTATTACGAATTCGACGGTAAGTAACCACAATAAGTGTGCGATGAGCGTAAAATACATGTGTGCTTTTAGCATAATTTTATATTTTTGCGTGAACCAGCAATCATTAGTACACTAGAATCAACCTGTGGATATACTCGATATTCAATTAGAAAACTAAACTTTTAAATATTTATTATTCATGTTTTATTGTGTGCGAATCGTTTACATTTCATGACCTGCTATACTGCATGCCATGTAATTGTAGTGTGTGTGTGTGTGTGTGTGTGTGTGTGTGTGTGTGTGTGTGTGTGTGTGTGTGTGTGTGTGTGTGGTGTGTGTGTGTGTGTGTGTGTGTAGTGTGTGTGTGTGTGTGTGTGTGGTGTGTGTGTGTGTGTGTGTGTGTGTGTGTTTGTGCGTGCGTGCATGCGTGCGTACATGCGTGCGTGCGTGCGCGTGTGTAAGGGGTGCATGTTCGCGTGTGGGTGGTCGTATATTTGTGCGCGTACGCGTACTGAGTACGTGTTGACAGGATTACTCGCTTACGCCTTACCAATTTGTTTCTTGAACAGCGCACATATTTTTTGACGATGCAATGAGGTTCGACAAAAATCTCAACTGTTACGTGGTGAACAACTTTGTAAGGACCTTTATCAGCGTCCTTGATGTTGCTGCAAGGTAAAGTAAGCGGCAGACACACTCTCACTGTGTTGCTTCATCGCTCGACTGCTTCATGTCCTTATTTTAGCGCGAGTTTTCTGGAAAAGAAAAGTAATAGTATAAAGCCATTTATGTCCTGTCGTTTGGAAGGTAGTAACCTCCCGGTTTAAACTCCATAGAACTAATAACGTTTCGTCTTACGTAAATATACCGTAACATTTCGACTGCTAACTGTACCAATAAATCAAGAGCATTTAAAGAAGGAGAGCGTACAACGGTAAAATGCTGAAACCATGTTGCAGTATTAGTCGAATTAATAAACTTTCCCCGTGTTATTTTGACGATTGTTGGGCTGCAGTATTATTGATCAGCTGTCCTACCTTGTTCATATAAAACAAACCGCATGTCCCTACGATGCACATACGCTGAGATAATGAGCGGTAAAAATCTGGTATTTTCGCTGAACACCGACTAGACATTAGTCAATACTGCGACCCTCTCTCCAAGTGTGGCCAGTGTGCTGCTTCCGGTCGCCGCTGTGTAGCGCCATAGTGGCGCTGACTCACGTCATACTACCAGAGTTTACTATACATCCAGCGTGAGGTGGGCGTGAGGTGGGCACAGGTAGGTGTCATCAATCAATAACAGACGTCATTCATTCCATTTGTCAATCATTGACGGAAACACGCGAGGTTTACCGAAGTTATAACACTTCGAGAGACAGTCACAGTAACTGACTGATCTCGAGTCAGTTTTCGGCGAAAATGCCAGATTTTCACCGCTCATTATCTCAGCGTATGGGCATCGTAGGGACACGCGGTTTGTTTTATATGAACAAGGTAGGACAGCTGATCAATAATACTGCAAAGAATCGTCAAAATAACACGGAAAAAGTTTATTAATTCGACTAATACTACAACATGGTTTCAGCATTTTACCGTTGTACGCTCTCCTTCTTTATATGCTCTTGAATAAATATATCTCAAGATAATAACAAAAGGGCTAGATAAATAAAATAACTATACAGTATGAACATGTTAAGTGTATTTTACGCGAGTATTTCTCAATTTGCCATTGCTAAAAAAATTTGTTTATCAGCTAATGACAACATGTTTTTGTTAATCTACCTTTATATTTTAGAAATTGTTAGTATGTCGTAATTTATTAGTTTAGCCGTCTAGACTAGGCGTTGCATTGTAGTTATAAATGATATTCGTATACTATGTGTCAATAATGATTATTGGTACTTGATGCAGGGCGGTGACAGGCGCCCCTCTTCCAAAGTATACATATAAGAAGATTCCTACTCCGTATGGGGGTCGACTAGAGTGGGAATTACCGGAAGAGAATATACTCGTTGTTCATCTGAAAGATAGCGCGAAAATACGACATCGAAAACGTTGGAGCCAGGTATCTTGTACTTTACGATAATGACACATGTGCGATAACATAGCAGGACATGTGAAACATGGGAAACAGCTCCTCCGAACACATCAATAGATGAAATCAAGAGCGTATTAAGTATGCTTAATACGGTTCAAGGGGTCGTTGTCGTATCAGGTACTACAGACTACCCGAGGTACATATATGTATACACAAAGTGTACAAGACTTGTACTACAGAAGTGTACCCTAACCCTAACACTAACCCTAACCCTAACCCTAACCCTAACCCTAAACATACCTCATATAAAAATATAAACATAATACT